GTGGAGAACAGCTAATGTAGACTAACTGCTGGCCCCTTTCTCTGCAAATGCTAGCTGTCATGCTGACACAATCAACATATCCTAAGACACTGGCCCAAATCAATCATGCAGATTAGCTCAGTCCGATTTCACTTGCAGCATACTGGACACGGAACCAAGGTTTTAGAGTACTCAAGCCAGAGATGGCCACAAAACTATACAATCCAAGAAAGAGGTCATCTTTTACGTGGTGTCCTCTAATCCTAATCTCTCAATATTCCTTTGTCAAGTTAATTTGGCATCACCAGACTTTGGTTATTGTTAATATGAATGATGACTTAGACTAATATCTACTATTAGATTTATTTAAAAGTAAGACAGCCATACAGACGGAGATGCAAGAAACAATGCTTGTCAACTATTCTAAAATCAAAGCATTAATGGAGTTGTACAAATATCCCATAAGTGTCTCACTTATAGTAAGCAAGCATATAAATTAAATCAGAAAAAAAAAAAATCTAGGCCAGCCACTGATTTGAGTGCATGCACAAAATCTTTGCGCGCCCAAATCTTCCTGCACTCTTCATCCTTTACTAGGAGAACAGCACTAAGCTGGTGCAACAAAACTCAAAAACTCAACAGTGGGAGGAAGCCATCGGTCCATATACAAATGGTACTTGGGATGACGGCCAATTACAAGTCCATAAAATATTGGCCTTTAGTTATGGCGACCATTTAGCATTAGCGGACAAGAACAATTCTAAGACAGACCCGCATTGGCTCTACTCCAAGAACTGTGTGCATCATATTCTGAGCAGCACCTATGTCCATAAGTTCCAACAATGCTGAACAAAGTGGACATGTATTCTAATTGTCATTTACACTACAAATGGGAACTTCCCACTTGAATTGTATAAAGGGTAAGTGTGTTTCTATATAAAAGTTAGTGTCCCCCAGTCTTTGCAGCAATCAAATAAATACAACATGACTTGGTGCAGAGGAAATATCCAAATACTCCCCCCATCCAGCCAGCAAAATAACCACTTGCTTGGCACTTCTTCCTCACATTACAATCCACTGCATGCACCAAGCTTAAGACAGGGCCTAGCTATACAGAATACCAAGTGGCTGCCCAGTGAATACACCAAGGTAAAGGCAGTGACTGGGCATGGTGATTAACCACAGTTGTCTATATCCGGACTACCATGTCTTCCACCAAACATTATCACCTCCACCTCTTTCCGTAACAAAGTCTACCCTTTCTTTGTATTTACGAACTGAAGCTGCAAAGTATATAAGTATCTGTATAGTTTGCAGGCATTGGACAAATGGTTCCAAAAAGTAGCGTTCATTCCTAAAGTCCAAGTAGCACTAACATCTATTGACAGATTCTTGTTGCACAGTAGAAACTTAAACACAAGTGACAGATACATCACAATATTTGTCCTTGAATATTTTGCACCAAAATGCTGTTTAATAAAGGGTCATTTCACACAGGCATGACATACCCTAGACTTGTACCTGAATACTCGTCTTCTTCCTCAAATTCCAGGGGATTCTGAAAGACTGCAGATTTAGAAGGCTCCTGATCAGCTGCAGATAAGTCCAGGGCTTTAGACCTTGAGTTATGAAAACTAATGGCATTGTATGGATGCTCATCTGTGCCATAAAGAATCAATGTCCATTCTTTCAGCCTCCCTAAAACAAAGGTTTACACTATCATTTATGTCTTCTCTATTTTCTGCAACTTCTGAACCAAGCACAATAAATGACCTTTTTATCAACAACAAAAAACACTAAGACTACGATTGTTTACCAGTTGTTTAACCCAAAGGACCAAAATACAATGGAGACATTTTTATGAAATTGATTAGTTGAAAAAATAATTGGGCAACTAATCGATTAAGAAAATCGTTAACTGCAGCCCTAGTTGCCATCTTCTGCACGACATCCCTTGATCAGCTGACTGAAGGAGCAGGTTGGATTAATCTTCAGCTGCTAAACAGCAAGAGATTCTTCCAGCCATGCTCGTAAGCACTGATGGAGGAATCTGTTTTCTTCGTTCAACTTGCAGGTTGAAAGAAAATGTAACTGTTTATACCCAGCTTAAGTGAGAGTTGTGAATAGGTGAACTTAACTTTAAGAACTCCGGGCATAACTATTCTTAATCCTTGCAGTGGGGCTACCACTGCACTGCAAGTGTTAAGTGGTTGTATTCATCTAGGTACAAATTTTTTTATTTTAAAAAAAAAGGTAAAATTCACTTTAACCTCGGAACCTACTGTCTGCAACTCTGGTCCCTGCCGCCTATCTCCTCTGCCTACAGCGATGTAATGTCCCTCGGCATCCTCATGTTCTATACACTGTATGGGACATGAAAAACTCACTGAACTTTAGTCTGCTGGAGCGGAATGGGAGTGAGGCGGCAGGGACCGTTTTTTAAAACTTTGGCCCAAGATGAAAACGAGCACTTAATCCTCGCAGTGTGGGGGTAGCACCACTGTAAGGGTTAACGATAATTATGCCCAAAGTTCTTCTTTAAGACAACCCTGGCAAATACTGAAAATAAGAGCACACTGTACACCAAACTTTTCATTTAAAGCAATTCTCTGTTAAATGTGGTGACTATTAGAGTGCAGGGAAATCTACTACTCTACGGTTGATCTTCAGTTCTTGGTAACCTGAAATGATATATTTTAAAGGGGCGCATTCAATTGTTTTCTTCTATAAGTCATTTGTATGTTCAGTTTATATGTGTGACTTAAATAGTTAATAGGGAGGTGGGGACCATAAGTGGAGTGAAACGTTTCTACTACAGAATACAGAATGACTCATCTGTCGTTTGGTAGCAAAGCTGTTTTGTAGCATCTACGGCCAGCCGACAATCCAAGAAGATGAAATAAATGGGCATCAGTGCCAGCTGAGTGACAGTGGTGCCACTGACACGAGGCTCAGACTGAAAGGAACGATCTCTAATTTAGAGAAGAAGCCATTACATTCATATTGCATTTTATGAAAACTTGGAAGAGAAACGAAAAGGAAAAAATGCCAAACTAAGCGGAACAGAAAAACACGTTGGGAACCTTACATGACCAGGTAGGCCTGGGACCACCCATGGAGTTGAAAGGGAACGTGAGCAAATTACTGATATAAGAATGTAAATAAATCAACTTTTAGATTGACTTCTTACAGATGCAAGCCAATATCTTTCATTATATGGTCCAGCTAGAAGCAACTCTCAAGGCTAATCAGAACACATGCATGCATGTTAATTCTTTAAAAAAAATGTAATTTGCCGATAACATAATTATATGGTAAGCTTGGTAAACATGCATGAGGGGGCGACAATCTCCCTAGTGGGGACACAGCAATAAAAGCTTGACGAAGGTTCTAATTCTTCTCCAATATATCCAAAACTAAATTTGGCTTTAAAAACCATAACCGAGCAAACCAAACATACCCTTGCAGTAGGGCTACCACCGCAATGCAAGGGTTAAGTGCTCTTTGTTGTCTAGGGGCTGGAGTAATGCAGACTTTCTTACTGCACCCCGATGGTCTGTGCTCTGCTGCTCTTCCCCTCCACTCCAACTGGTCCCTCGGTGTCCTTGCGTCTGATCCAGGTCTATGGAACCTGCATTAGTCATAATGACATCAGCGATCCTTGGACTGTTTGAGCCCAGGTGAGAAGAGGCTGAGGCGACAGGTCCAGCAGCCCTGAGGGAGCCAGGATCAGGCAAGTAAAACAGTTTTACTCCAGTCCCTAGGCAAAAACAAGCACCGAACCCTTGCTGTGGGGGATAGCCCCACTGAAAGGGTACTATTTTTGCTCGCCCGGATATGGGCTTTAAGCTGAAGCACTGCAATTATGAGAATGCCCTGCCAGTCAACTTCCTAGGTCTGGCCTTCAGATACTCAGTCAAATACGATATACTCCTAACTACCCGTGCCAACCAATAAAGACATTTCCTGTCATCGATGATACTTAAATCAGGATGTGCCTGACAAATCCCAAAATACATGCAGCCAATTCAGGACTTCAATTCTAAACCTTTTCTGTGCAGACTGTAGAAAAACACCTTCTCTAATACTTGATTAGATGCGGAATTCCATATATGAGTGTTAAAGTTTACGTAAACACTAACTATGAACTTTTTGTTATTTCACACGGTCAGTGAACAGATCCCCTCCTGATTGAACAGTATGGATCTGATGTCACCGCTGTGACATCAGTGTCTGTCCATTTTTATCCTCCATCTTGCGATGGAGGAAAGAACTAAAACTGCTGGACCCCATGTCAGTCTATGGGGAGTTGGACGTAAACAGTTAGTTTACATCAGATTACCCCCAGATCCGGCACAATCAGGTCTGGCGTAACTGAACTCTGTTCAGTTTGTTTTTCCAGACTTGGCCGGAGTCAGGGGAAATCAGGGGTAAACGGATCCATTGGGCATCTGATCGGGTCAGCCTGAAAAACGTACAGACGGATCTGATCGGACCACCTGTGTGAAAGGGGACTTGCAGTACTTCCTTTTGGTCCATTTAATACACAGTTGCAAGATTTTGTTTCATCTGTTTGGTAAGTGCCAACAAAATGAAAAACACAAACCTGTTCATATCAAATTCAGAGCTGCCCTGCGTCCTCTGCAGACTTTCTGCATTCTCTTAACATGCCCTCCTAGTTCTCATCTTGGACTAGAGTATAATTAGCCTTTAACCTATAGCGGGTGGGAGTGGTTGAGTTGTTTAGGAAAAGACACTGGGTAGGGCTGCCACTACTCAGTCCACACAAAAAAAGCGGCGTGATGTCAGCCCACACCTGCATGCATTTCTAGTGCATTTGGAGTGCATTTCTAGAAGATCAACAGGTATTTTTCTGTACCTGCAGGGAATAAAACAACGAGAAATGTGCACCGCAGAAAAGCACTATTTTTTTTTGCCTTGAAAGTACTACACTTCAAAGTTCCGATAACATTTCCATTGCTTAAGCATATAGGACATAGACCAATAACAATGTTTTTATGTATAGATCTTCAACTACTCATCCAAATCATGTACAACTCTTCTGAAAGCAATCTCCCCTTGCAATAAAAAAGTCAAGCAATGCTCTCACTTTTTTAAACTGTTAATAAAACTGTGAAATGAATGTTTTTTTGCCTCAATGGTTTGTTTACAGTGCAAGCAAATACATAATATGAATAAGCTGTATGACTAATGCTCATTACAGACTTATGTTCTCACCCATCCTGTCCCATTCCTCTCACACACTGCCAGATGTTCACATATCACTGTATGATCTGGGTTCAGCACGTGGGCTGACACTCCACTTCCTACGTAAGCTGGCCTCTGCTTTGCGCCCACCAAAGTGTACAGCTTGTGGTAAGCAGCCCCCTGGGGCCCAGGGTTGTCCAAAACTATTTAGCTGATGTCAGGCTGGGTTCCTCCTCATTAAGTCAGCTCAGCATGGACTGGGGAGATACAGGACACAGTGGTAACATACCAAATAGGATTTCTGATCACCAAACTCAACTATATATAATAGAAAACCAGTTAATTTAAAATCCCACTGCACACTTTTATACAAGGATTAGAGCTGCAGCGATTAATAAATAATCGATTATTTTCAAAATCGATTAGTTAGCCGATTATTAAGTTCGATTAATCGGTTAATCGGATAAAAAATAAAATACATTTTAAAAAATGGCTCCAGTGATAGGACTTCTAGTTTTTATTGAGATAGCAGTCCATCACAGAAGCAAGCTTGGAGCGGTGGAAGTAAAATAGAAAAAAAGTGTGGTTAACAATATAGTGAAATGGAAAAGTGAAAAAAATTATACAGCAATGATGATCGTGGATGTGGGTGGGCGGTGAGCGTGAGGCGGGGAGGAGGCGCGGAGCGTGGATGCGGGCGGGTCTGGCAGCGGCGAGCGTGAGGTGGGGAGGTGTGGTGCGCAGCGTGCGTGGAGCCGTGAACAGGGCCAACCAATTAGAAGCCGATTAATCGATGATTGGAAAAGTTGACAACTTTTTAAATAATCGATTATAATCGATTATGACGATTAGTTGTTGCAGCCCTAACAAGGATGCCATGTTATTAAAGATCTGGTCCCCCAATAGATTTATGGAAAAAAAAGAATTCAAAACCATGTACACTTCCAATATGAAATTGTAAAGCCATAGGAGACATATATTTGCATGTAGGGGCATTTTTAAAATATGGCAGACCAACTCCCATCTCTCTTGCTAAGCACAAAGTTCCTACTACTCCACCAGCGTGTGGGAAGAGTAATCCTGGCCCAATGTATCCTCCTGTAAGCCCTATTGTACAGTCTACATGCAGCTCCAACTGTACCCCTGTTAGCATATCAATTAATGGCACAGAATCAAACGCTGCTCAAAAATGTAGCCCAAAACAATGTCACACTGCATTTACTAAGCAGCAAGTGCTTATGCATTAGACTGCCATTCTCCAGGAAGGGTGCAGTGTACTCCCTTTACCTGCTACCGTGGGGGTCCTGAACCTGAGACAAACCCCCAGCCTCTCAGGATAGCTAATAATATTACAAATGCCTGTGGATTAGCAAGATCATATGGAGGATGGCGAGATTATGCACTTTTGCCATCAAGCTTCCTATTCCTCTACTCATTGCTGAACTTAATCCTCTGGCACGGAAGATACATGCTCCCTATTGGCATTGCGTAGCAATACCATGGTATAATGTGGCATCAAAGTCACCCTGGACTCTCAACCAGAGGGGCCGAGTGGTTCCAGGTAACAACTTTTACCAGGAAAGAGCTGGTTTTGAAATTATTTCAGGGTTGTCTAGATTATTATTATTATTATTATTATAATACAGGATTTATATAGCGCCAACAGTTTGTGCAGCGCTTTACAATATAGGGCAGACATTTCAATCACAATACAATTCAAGACAAGATGGTAGGGAGGGCCCTGCCCCTGAGGGCTTACAATCTAAAAGGGAGGGGGGAAGTGATACATGAGGAGGGAGCTGCGTGGGGATGATGAATTGTTTGAGAACGTATTATATTTGGGATCCTGGAAACGGGAGATTTCTAAGAGAATTGGAAGGGATGAAATCTCTGTTACTGGGTCCGTATTTTCATAGTAACTAGGGATGAGCAGAACACCTCCGTGTTCGGTTCTAATTCGAACTTTCGAATATGGAAAAAGTTCTAATTCGAACTTAGAACTCAATGCAAGTCTATGGGGGTAGAACTCAGAAAATTAAATGTGCCCATTTTGAAGCCTTATATGCAATTTATTGGCCATAAAAAGTGTATGGGGATCTGGGTACTGCCCTGAATGACAGGAATCAATGAAAAAAACACTTTAACAAAAATACAATTTTTAAAGGAGCAGTGATTTAACATCACTTAAAATGAAACATTCAAAATGAAAAATTCCTTTAAATATGGTGCCTGGGGGGTCCCCTTTCACTGCCTGTAAAGTGGCGCATCTGTATGTCAATATATCAATAAATCTGCTGTCACTAACTCTATTAGAATTCTCTTTCTCTTCTACAACACACGACATAGAGCCGTGGTGTCAGCAGCCTTATATAGTGTGCTGCAGGGACTTAGCTGTGAGACATGATTGGGCACAGTCATCATGACTTTGCCCAATCATGGCTTTAAATGTGTACTGAGCCCTGATTGGCACAGTGTTGCACCTGACCTGTGGTCAGGTGCAAGACTGCAGCCAATTACAGTTTCGGAGGGCGCAGTGCATTGTGGGATGTTCCGCGCTCGAACAGACCGTTTACATCCCGCAATGTTCGGCGTTCAGCGAACGCTAGAACAGGCTATGTTCGATTCGAACATGCAGCCCATCACCAAATCATTGTGCATTATGAAAAGGATGCTGGTTAACATTCAGTGTTCCAGTTGTAAGACAGAGGTGGTCTGTCCATGAGTCAGGAGTGTTCCATCCTGGAACCAGCCTGTGTTGCCAGTGTGTGGGTTACAGCCTATGTGGCAGACGTTTTGTTAAAGTGACAACCTGGAGTCGATGATTCTGACAACTGATTTTGCTGAGACAAGTGAAGTTGTGTTGAAATGTTGGAGAAACCCCTGTGAGGGAAATTTGTGTTAACTTTTACATAAAAGCCGGCAGGAAGCTCTAAAAAGAAGTTGACGAGTGGACCATGTCCTTAACGCACTACCATTTGAAGCGAATTCTCACACCTGCCAATTGCTCAACGTAAGCCTCCACCAAAATTTTTGTGCAGATCTCTATACTTAACCCTTTACCCGCTAAAATTCCCATTACTGTGTGGATTACTACTTTAAACCCCTGCAGGGCCAACATTCATATGCTGACCACTGAACATGCATTCATCCTGACAGAAGTGTCTAGTATGACTGAGCAATGGGGCAGAGAGGAAATTATTTACCATTGCCCGCTCACTGAATTGAGGAATAAGCCTCTTAATGTTTGGGATATGTGATAGAATAAGACATGTGCATGAGGGCTCTTTGATTACTTTAGTCCATTTTCACCATAACCTGTATTGGTTATACGTCTTGTTGGGTCCCATTCCCAACTTCATAAAAGCAATGGTTTCCATACACTGCCCTGATGGTGGCCAAATAGCCTGGAAGAGCTGTATGCAGTTTGGAATAAATGGCTTTAGAACATTAGCCTATGTTTTCAATTTACACCAGCAGTTCTGGATGTTCATCTGGCCAATGGTGTGTAAAGCAAATGATATGCATGGCGCGGCCCACTGTCTTGAAATAAGTAATAATCCTCTTATTTTTGGGATATGTGATGGAATGAGACTGGTAAACACCTTCTGTTCCAAGAAGGCTTTACTGTGCTACACATCAAAAGGAGTAAGGGTTGTTTGATTGCTTTAGTCCCTTACCATAACCTGTATGGTTATACTGTCCTAAGCTAACCAGTGGAAATGGAGAGTTCACATTTTCACACATACTCATGTATGCTTTACAGATCTTTACAATTGGTTCAAATTTAACTAAAGACAATTATATATTGCACAATTACCTTGAGCCTCTGGATTGCGCAACTGAGATGGGATATCATGAATTTCTAGCATCCATTCACCTTCAGCTTTTTCTCCCCAGCAATGGACGGTCATAAACTCCCAGCTCTTAAATCCTTCATTGGAGTAGTCAAATGTCCTGGAAACAGATGGGCTGTTAACTTTGAGTAAACTAATTATTTTAACCCAAGCGCACCAACTAATATGCATTGTGGTACCATACAACGAAGGTGCATTGCCGTAGTGCTTTTGGGTGCCATTCAAAATAAATGACACCCCCAAAGCCATAACGCACATTACCGCAACATGCAAGTGAGAAATTGGCCTAAAACGTCTGAAAATGTGTGTGTCCCTATTAGAGTGTTTCCTTTTATTTCCTGTCCTAGTAAAGCAGAAAGAGCAAATCTGTCAATAAGCTGACAGAGGTTCTCACAACCCTCATCACTAACCAGAGCTATAAAAATTGTTCGTGCTGGAAGCAGGCTTCATCTGGAGTTTAGTGTCTTACCGTCTGGCTAACAGCTGGGACTTTGTCCCTGATGGAGAAATTAGGTTGATTTGCAGGTCTCCTCTTCGTGGGTGTGATATGGTAACTCTGACAACAACATGCTCAAGGTATGCCACATGTTGCCCACTGTTATCTGTGCAAGCATTGGTCTGAATTGTAGTGCGAATCAGCTGGTCAGCTCTGATAAACCTGTATAAAGGCATACAAATGAGAATAGCTCCCATATTAGGAACATTGGAAAATTAAGTAACATTTCAATGGGGAAAAATATTCACAGAAAAAAAATCAAATAAAACATACGGATCATATAATGAATAATCAACAATAGTGCAGGAAGTTGACATTTTTGGGTATGTGTACAGCATGGAATCATAACACCATAAGAAAGTAATTCCTTTTTGCATACAGAGAGAAGATCCCTTCCCGTTTCCTGTCAGCAGCACTGGACAGATCTTGCACACATTAAGCTTTACACACTCGGTGAACATGTTCCATTCTCCAGGGTAGTGTTCTACTTCACCTAACCCTGCTCTTCTTTGCAGACAATCACCTACTGTTCCCTACCAGTATTACTCCTCAGTGATGCACTACAATCCTTCACTCTTTATGCAATGTTACATTCTTCTCCTATGTGGATGCTTCTGCCTTTAGGCTATCTTAAAATTTTTTTTGCACCAATGTATTAAAAACACTACACATAAGCCACATAATGAAGGAAACATTTAAATAAAACACTTATCATTCCAAATGAGCCATTTAATGAACAAGCACACCTGTTACTGCAATAAAGAAATACCTTGGTGAATGCAGTTGGAAGGCAGCCTAAACTAATTATTGCCCTATGATAGTAGTAGCCTACAGAAACTGCCCACAGGCCCAATATGACTGTATAGACATGTAATGTAGTCCTACACTACGTACTGTAGTATAACAAGTACCATGTTCTATGATTAGGCAGGATGGAACAGATAGAATACTTGGATAGAAATCATTTCTGCATAAAGAAAGAATAGCTGCATGTTCAGAATATAGTGGAACACTGCTTGTAAATACAACTACCGTAATATTATTACAGTTGGCTTTAAATTTGGTTTACAAAGCATCAATACACTGAAACAACATTAGGCAGCAGGGAAGTGATGACTAGGGATTCCAAGCAGTGAAAAGAGCAGAGCTGGAATATCAAGACCATGCACCAGAAAAATATTGTGTTAACCCATCAGAGTCAAGATGTTTGAATCATTTCCAGGATATACACATTTGCCAGATTATACATTATGGACACTGCTATCATGAGGCATTCAAATGGGATTTACAAAATCATCCAGATTAAAAGTAAATATTTCAGTAAGCCCTTGGCATTTCACAACACAACCTCGTCTGCCATGCAGCTCCTAAAAAAAGCTTTTTAGCTGCAGGCTTGCAGCTTCACAATCTTACAATCAATTACTGGTCAACAGAGCCGGGAGTTTCATCTATCTCCTATACCCGAAAAGAGGAAAAAGCAATGCAACAACAAATGTTATCATGCTCTGCCGTTTTCAGCCATATTCCGAGAAAAAGTGCAAGTCCTACTGTCAATAAACACATATACAGTATAACTATGCAATCCCAAAATATAGCAGCTAGCTCACTATTGACTTGGATGAATTTGGAATTAAACTCTTCCTAAAAACTTGCAGTATACACATTACATCCATAGTAGTGTCCTCTTTTGTGTTGCTGAGTTATCGCTTGCAGAGTTATTTAAAGGAGAACTATTGGGAGAGTAAAATATACACTACCTAAATCTTATAGCTGCCATGGGACACTGCTGTTGTCACATGCCGACTCTATAGCTTGAGAACTGAGCGATCACAAACCAATGAGTGCTCAGCTTGCGGCTATTCCCTGCAGAGATCGATGACGGTCATTCACTGATGCCTGCAGGGATTAACCCCCCCCCCCCCCCCCGACCCCCTCGCCTCCCCTCCCGAGATCTTCCGCATCCCTCCTGAGACCTTCCGCTTCCCCCCGGGACCTTCCGCTCCCCTCATTAGACCTTCCGCACCCCTCCTGAAACCCTCTGCACCCAGGACCGGATTTGCTCTCCCTGCTGCCCCAAGGTCAGGTTCTTCAATGCACCCCCCTCCCCTCCATCCAGCCCCCCATGGAGAATGCCAATCCCCCCCCCCCCTCTCTGTTCCTCTAGCACTCGTTGGAGGGACAGACAGGGGAGGGCACAGCTGGCTAAGGCTCTAGAGAGGCAGAGCCAGCAATCAGGCAGCAATGTGGATCTCAACAAAACTGTCGGGATCTTTCCCAGCTGCAATGCAGCTCTGCTCTGTCAGCATATGGCAGACAGTGGCCCGCTTTATGCTGACTTTTGGTCACAGGAGTACATTTGCAAATGTACTCCTGTGACCAAAAGAGAACTAAAGCCAAAAAAGTTTGGCTATAGTTCTCGTATAAGCAGATGACATATACACGCGCAGGTTCAGTATGTCTGCCCTTCAATCCAGCATCCTGCTGGAGTCTTCAGAGCACCATGCCAGGCTGTCAGCTACCAGCTCCAGCATAGGTTCTTGCTCTCACAATGTACTATCCCCATTTCAGCAACCCCAAGTGACTATTGGCTGTAGAGGCATAGGATTTATTTTTTTTGCATTGATGAGCATTGTCGCTTAAGAGGGGATGGAGGAAGTATGCGCCAGGAAATATCCAAGATTGCACCGGATTCAGTGGAGCGAGGGAAGTGCAGAATTCATTGCTATATGGAGTAAGCATGCACATCTTGGTGTATTAACCTGTTACCAGGCATTTGGAGAACTGTGGCAATGCGGTTTGGAGTTTTTTTTTTGTCCAGTGGATGGGAGAGTTCACTGCTGCCCAACTCCAGTCAAAACATTTTAATTTTCTTCTGGATAGATCAGGGAAGGGATAGAGCTTCGGGCAGTTTAAAAAAAAAAAAAAATATTGCCATGTGTGTCCAGATTGAAGAGTTTCAAGACTGGAGGTGATGGGAGAAAATTTTACCAATAGTGTTCATTGAACAGACTTCCAGCAAAGGAGTCAAATAGTATTTAAGTAAACATAAACATGCTCGATCTAAATGTTAAAAAAAAACCAAAAACCCCCAAACCTCCCAAAAATAAAACAAGGACGACTTAATAGATCATTTGGTCTTTTTCTGCTGTCAAGCTTCTATTGTTTAAAATAAAATCTCTCCAATGAGGACACAGACAACAAACAAATTTAGCAGAGTGGGAAATGGTTAGAACTTTTATTATGGTCTGCTCCTTCCTTTCCTGGTGGTAATGGTTTACCCCCATTTCTTGTATAGAGGTCACAGGGAAAAGCAGTGAGAAAATCTTCCTAATAGAATCGCAGACAGAAATATGAACTCTTTCCCACTTTATTGAAAGCAAACAAAATACAGTTTGGCTGGGGTGGAGCTATAAAATTACGCTTTGAACTAGATCATCAGAGCTTACCTTGGCCTTCGGTCGGAGGCTCCTATACAGACATGTTGCGATGGGACAGTTTTCCATTTCTTGGCTTCAACGACCATAGCTTCGGCATCCACCAATCCAAAGCCATAAAGATGGCTGACTGAAAAGAATAAAAGTCTGATAAATCTGGTCTTTACTAGAAACCTATGTAAATATCAGTCATAGCTTCCATAATTCATCCTTTGTTCACAACTCCCTTTGACAACCGTTAACATTTGGTGCTCAATAGGGAGGCAAAAGGGGCAGGAGGGTGGGGGCCCTGGCAGCACAGAGAGCCAGGGTTTCAGGACTATTTTGTCGCTCTGAAAATAAAACATTGCATGTATAAGAGCCGTCACCTGGAGGTGTCTTTTTTTAGGACCTCAGACCACTTTAGCTAAGGATGAGCCACAAGTCCACTTTAAGCTCAACACCACAAGGCAGTGCTAGGAGTTTAGGGAGTGTTGAATGATCCGAGCACATACCCTGAACAGTTTGTAGGAAGAGAGCATTCACAGTAAAGGTTTTTGTCACCTGATTTCTGTATTTCACCTCCCCCTATTGTTTTAACTCTGCAGCTCCATGGCTTTCCCTATGTTTGTTAGATCACTGCTATGGTGGCTTTATGGAAACAAGTATAGACAGAAATAAAGAGGCTGCTATTGCTGCTTGCCTGGCTGTCATTCTTAGCCACTGGCTGCAGTTTTTTATAGAGTTACTGATCTCTAACAAGTATGCAGCTTGTGAGTTCTGACATTTTGACTTTTTTTTTATGTGCATACTTGTTCTGGGACAGTGACAAAGTACTTGGGTCAGTGGGTAAGCAGAACAACCAGGTGAGTAGCATTTTGAGGTCAGTAATGGAAGCTACTGAATTTTTCCAGTACATGGCAAACTTAAAATGACTGAATATTTGTATTGGGTCAGTGACAAAGTATTTAAAGGCACATTATTGGGAGAGTGAAATACACTCATCCCCATAAATAGAGCCGATGTGCAACGCTGAAGCGTCAAACGCTGGCTCCATTGATCCAGAAGTGAGCAATCACATACTGCCAATCACTGTTCCCGATCTTCTCCCTGCAGAGAGGTAAGCATCACCGCTCCCCGGAGAGATTGCGCCCATCCCCTCTGTTCTCCTAGCGCTCACTGGAGGTATGGTGAAGGGGGCGGGTATAGCTGGCTCTGGCGAGCAAACTGTCAATCAGGTGGCGAGGTGGATCCCGACAATGTCTGGATCTTTCCCGGTTGATGCACGGCTCTGCATTGTCAGCATATAGCGGGCAATAACCCGCTATATGCTGAGTTTTGGGTCACAGGAGGACATTAGTAAATATCCTTGTGACCCTAAAGAGAAGCAAAAGCGGTAGGGCCATCATTCTCTTTTAAGCCAGAGAGCAAGGTAAATAACCAATCAAGAGGGAGCTCTCAGTATAGATTTCCTTTAACACTCCCCTTACCTACCCACCTAACACTATCCAGTAATACATGCACACAGAAAAGATATGTAGGAAAGTATGTAAACCCTATGAAAAAAGAACCTATATAGTCTGTAATATATAATTGAAAACATTTTGTTATATTTGTGTGATAAGTGCAACCCCCCCAAAAAAAACCCTGTTATTCGCAGTAGAAATTTAAAGCTGTCCTGTGCACACTTCCTGTGTTATCGTAAGGAGTCCCCCTAGTTCTCATCTTGCACTACAGAAGAATAGGTCCCTATGCTATGGAGATTAGGAGAATAGGAGGGGTTCAGTAGTTTAACAATGAACATCTGGCCAGGGCTGACACAAAATTCTGTCCACAAAAAGGCATGCAGTGTCTTTTCACAAGAGGAAATTAGGGTTAGAGTGCATTGCTGGCAGGTCAACAGATATTTTTCTGTACCTCCAAGGTCCTTTATAGGGATAAAACCTTGGGAAACGTGCATGCATTCCACAGACATACTGCATATGTTTCCCCACCCACCTCTCTGGTATATGCTGAAAGCAGTCAGAACTTGATAGGAAAACATGATGCTTAAAATTTCAGTTCCACAATAAAAAAAAAAGGTAAAAAGCTCAAACTGTCCCCAATGTCATTTGCAGCATATTTCTTACCAAAAATCAATGGTATATTAAAATGATCAAAAACAGTTTGAAGGCCATCTAGGGATACATGCGAAATGTACGCCAAACAATTTTAAAATAAAAAGTTTAACCATTTTAAAAAATAAATACATTATGGGCCGACACCTGTAGCAGGCAAGGAATGTGCAACGTTCTAGGATTTAAGTAACTGAAGCTGAATGAGCTCTGTCTGACCCCCCCTAAGCGGCCACACATTGAGCTCTTTGGAAACGCTAATGTTTTATCAGCTGAAGCTTGTGTAACATGAACACAGGTTCACAGTTGTGAATTATGCTAAATACTCTCACTGAAAAAAAATGTGGATCGTGTTTCAACTCAATTAGGTCAAAGGAGTTCAATGAAAACCACGCTGAAATAATGTGGGGAGGGGGGCCAAGTGATCTATGGGTAGAACTCAGAATGAAATGCATATAATTCCTTGTACTACTAATCATCTGGCTTCTCTGACCTTTGCGCCCAGCTCCATTTGTTCTCCAGTCGGGGGCCCGGAGGTGGACAGATCGTGACGTCTTCACCAAGAGATGCTGGACATCTCTCCAGTTCAGCATCGGGCTGCACAAAAAGAAAAGCCAAATAACGTTCCGGAATAGGAGTTACTAATTATCGCCACAGAGCCCTTTCTCGAAAATAAGTTATTGCATAACAGTATAATCGCACGGAATGCTAAAAGCCACATTTTTCAAAGCTTAATTACCACACAGCCTACAGAATTTCCAACAGTGACAACCATTTCTTTAGACAATGTCCTACTAGCCACAAAAATCACCTTATGAATTTTGGAGGTAACCCAGTATGAAAAAAAAACATTGCCATACTCTTTGGTGCCTCTTCTTTCCAATAAAAAGCCAACACCATGTGGATGTAGTAAACATGCTCTCTAAAATCAAATATTTGTATTCCTTCTCTATATAAATTATTTTATACTTGGGTGACAGTAGATCGCCTTTTTCCCCCCAGAGTTTCAGCTACATCTAAAAAGCATGCAACCATTATGACTCCCTCTATTTTTTTTGTATATAATACAAAGATGCACCACCACTTTAACTGGCTAGTTGGAAAAAAGGTCTTTACAAATGGAGTAGCAGAGCTCTGTATCAAAAAGGCATGCTGAAGGAGACCAACTGATATCATTTGTAACTTGTGATAAGTCTTGGTTGGTGGCCAGTGGGAGTCCAACTTGGAAGTGCCAAGCTTCTTCAGAGCTAAAGAGCCTTGCTATGGAAATCTTGGAACTTACTTTGGAAATTGTTCACATTGGACATTCAACAATTTTCAAAATTATAAATCTGAATTCCAGGCAGATATAAAAAAGGCACAAAAAAATGCAGCTATAGAAGACACAAATAAATTCAGTGCAGTGTTGATTAATACATAGTTTTTGTTTTTTTTGAATGGAAGCAGTGTAAGCAACTGCATTTGATAGGAGATAAAATCTTTATTCATGATGCCAAAATAAACACCAATGGACTCCTCACTCACAGATCTTCAGCAACGCATGCGTTTCGTCCGATAGACAGAGACTAAGCTCTAATGGTGGGCACACACCTTACAACCATCGCAAGACTTTTGTCTTGCGATGGTTGTAAGGTACTTTAAAAAAACGTACGATCTGCCTATCTTGGACAGGCAGATCGTACTTGCGATGACCGCAGGCCGCGCCACCCTGAGGGGCGGGCTTCCGATGACCGCAATGCCGAACAGTGTGCGCTAGCGCACACCAGCCCGTCCGGCTTTTATCTTACAAACATGCTACACACCCGCCAAACATCATACGATGCTCGGCGGGTTTTCGAACATGTTCGTAAGTTAAAAGTCATGCGACCTTACAGTAGTAGAGGTCGCACGGCTTCCACACACCTTACGATAATCGTACAATTGCGGGATTTCCCGCGATTATCGTAAGGTGTGTGGGCACCCTAACGGGTGTAAACACATAAGAGGCTTAGGTTTCTTCACACAGATCCTCAGTCACTTAGGGCTTTGAACAAGCCCTAACAGGTGAAACATGTAAGTGGCTGAGGATCTGTGAGCAGCCATGATGGTGGAGCCGGTGTTTGGGATACGAGTCTCTGTTTTGGATTAATCCTGCATTTGACCTTACATCAGCCTCTTGCAGTTCCTGTACAGTAAAGCTTAGACGGAGCGGGAAAGAAGCACAAATAGCTAATTAGTTCCATGTGCTGACAAGAAGTAAAATAGAGTGAAAGCCCATTCACACCAATTGCGGTGCGTTCCGGAGTGGTAGCTGTTGGAACGCACAGCAATCGTTCCCAAAACTTCCCCCTTCGTTCTGGGGATGGGAGGGGGCATGGCAGTGCATTGAAGTCAATGGCACAGCAGCTATGCCCCCACCCAAAGCCCCTCCCCCGCCTGCAGTGCGATCGGACACGTGGCAAAACATTGCCTGCGTTCCGGTCCACTGCAAACGCAAAAAATAGAGCATGCAGCATTTTTTTGCGTTTGCAGTGCACTGCCACGCCCCCTCCCACCCCAGAACAAAGAGGGAAGTTTTGGGAGCGACTGTTGTGCTTTCCAGCAGCTCCCGCTCTGGAACGCACCACAATTGGTGTGATTGGGCCCTAACAGATGACCTAATCAGTCGGCTGCTTCGTTTTCACTGGCCAGTCACAGGTTAAGGATAGGGAGATGACCTGTAAGCGTTACAGAACCGCAGTATCGAAAAATCAGATCTGCTCACCTGCTGGTCAGGGATGAGTGATGTGGCAGAGCTGTATAAATCTGATAAACAGATGGATAGAAACATAAATCCTGTGGTAGGTAAATCGGCTCCCATATATGTATTCCATCTGTGTATTTTGCAAGTTGCTTCGAGTTCAGCTTTAATTATTTGCACGCAGTTGTATTTGATAAAAAAAAAAATTATTTTTGGAAACCAGGCACTTATGAATTGTACAATTCTTTGCCGAAGGGAGACATCTACATTACTATATTTAGGAAGATCAACTTAAATTGGCAGTTCAAGGCATTGCCTGGTTTTTAGATATCTTCCTATCAGTACTTGTAGCCTACTGCTTCTTGTAGAGGCTCATTTGTGGCATTTCCAAGCAGGAGGTGGATACTAAAGGTTTAGATCTTTCTACTAAAAAAGTGGAAAGTGTCATGTATGGATTATGTTTAGCTGTGCAGAGCTGTGGAATCTATTTTTTCGCATTGATTAACTGAAATCCTCCATTTCCCATGAATTGTTTATCCTAAATGGCATTTTCTGCTCTCCTCAATGGAGGCCTCACAAAAATCCGACAGTTATGTTCTGTCAGAGCTAGTAGTATTTTAGAAGGGGTAACTTCAGTGATATTTGTGAGCTGACCCCATAAGAATGCATTATGAATAACACCAGCCTATAAACTGAGAACTAAAACACAAGTGGTTTTGAGTCTTTGGAATGGTAAAAGTTAATAGCATATTACATTTCTTATTATTTCTCCAATAGATAAAGGCCTATGCCTGTCAGGGCTCTTTCATACCAAGATGCATTGCGCCGTGATACCCATGTTTTTGTGCCTTAAGGCACGCAGTGTTGGGCAGATCTTTCAAGATCAATGTTCTGTAACAAACCGTACAAAGATTTAGGTCCTGCTGAATGTATTTCTGTAGTACACACTGTGTTTTACCAGGTGCACTCTAGAGGTTAGTTGGGGTAACAATCAAAATTAATTTCTCCACAATGCACAACGTGCAAGGTGCACTGCCACACGTACAACACGGGTAGCCTGAACAAGCTCGCTCACTGTGCCTGTAACGTTTGCTGTAGCTTTGAGTAAACGTTCCGTCTGGTGGTCTCGACAGAAACATCACTCATCTTTAAGCCTATAACCTTCCAGGTGCATAACCCCAGAAGAGCCATTAGAAGATGCCAACTTACTTCGCTTCCAGAGCCAGAGCAATAACACCAGCAACCATAGGAGCAGAAACTGAAGTCCCGGTGTGATCATCCGTACATCTTTGTCTGAGATCTGTTGTAACCTACAAATTAGAAATTGATCCATTTAGATCACTAAACATCAAGACAAAAGTCATCACATGCAATACTGACTTTCTGTACCATATATTGTTTTAAATGCTGTTGGGTAGCCGCAGTGTCATCATTTAGGTGACAATGCAATTTTAGTTTTAAGTAAATTCTCAAACTTTTTATCCAAAAATGAATCCAGATCAGACAAATATACATTGTCCAGCAAAGTTTTTTTTGCCCAAGCACTTACAGTCATCATGTTTCCAAACAGTTGGCTCCAACTTCCTCAGCTCAGCTTCCCTGAACTCCCTGTTGAATGCAAGATACAGCACAGACTCGAGCGGCCATCCATAAACTTGCATGGAGGAGGGAGGAGAGGGGAGCGTTGCTTGCCTTGCTTTACTGGTGTGTTTTTTTGGAAGCACACATAGCTATACTAACACACAAGGGTGGCTAGATATGACCCTGCAACGGAAAGGAGTCCCCCCAAAAAAGGATATCGGGACCAGCTGATTCTGCAGGAAACAAACTTTTAAACATCAATAAGCAATATTCACTTAATCAGCATTTAAAATCACTTAACCTTTTGGCTTTAATATGAATGCAAGTTTAGTGGTTACGTTAAGAGTTGGTTCGTTTTTTGGGGTTTTTTTTTTTTTAGATGTAATAACCAGTGTTATAAGATGTATCTGCCTAGAAAAGTGTTCACCAAAATTGACAGCTTCATGGCAATTTTCAGCAGCCAAAAGATAACACACTGCTGCTCACATACATGATTAAGTGTAATTAAACCCAAGAACCAAAACATAATATAGTGCGGGTTACCAGTCCTTCGACGCGGTGGCTGCATTTGTTTTCCTTGTTATTACATAGAACATATTCTGAAAAGACAGAAAAATACCCCTTGATGCTGTCAGATATACGCCCTGGAATTCATAAAGAGCGTCTCTTGTCTGTGCAGCTTGTGAAAGATTCATTTAACTGTTGGTACGGTGTATATGAATCTGCTGCAGATTTTTTTTCTTTGCAAAAAAATTACGTATGTGACAATTTACTCCTAGAAAAAAAGCTTTATGTATATCCACCTTTCTTATCATCGATATGGCACTATTTCTTATTTAATTTCTCGCAGCCATAGTGCCGAACTGTAAAAGTGTTGCAAGAAAGAACTATCAGAATTTCTTGCATGCATCGGAAATATCATGAAAACGGTTGCACAGCTTTCATGGCTTTGCGTAGGGACTTTTCAATACAGAGATGGCACCAGAAAAGGAGTAGCAAATGCTTTATTGATATGGCCCCATTATTTTCTTGTAGCTTTCTGTGGACTCAACTGAAATCTCAATTATCCTATATTATATAATATCATACCGTAATGCAGCCACCACATCTAAGGACTGGTAAGCTGAAATATACACTGCCTGGTCAAAAAATAAAAATAAAATAAAAAAAAGAAGTCACCTCCTGGATTCAGCTAAGCAAATAGGTAAGAGCCTTCCATTAGATAAGTGTTATAATCTGAGGCCACTTCAGTTGGTCCGGTCTACGTTCAGCAACTTTATATCCCCAAAAAGAGGTCAGCTGCCTACCTGAATATATTGAATGACCAGGTTTTTCCATCAATGGATTCTTTCTCCCCTGATGGCACATTTCGAGATGACAATGCCAGGATTCATCGGTCTCAAATTGTGAAATTGTGTTTCAGGGAGCATGAGACATCATTTTCACACAGATTGGCCACCACAGAGTTCAGACCTTTTCCCCATTGAGAATCATTGGGATGTGGTGGAGAAGACATCACACAGTGGGCCAACTCTCCCATCATCACTACAAGATCTTGGTGAAAAACTATTGCAACTCTGGGTGCTAATAAATGTTGTGACGTTGCATAAGCTTATCGAAACTATGCCACAGCGAATGCGTGCTGTAATTAAAGCGAAGGTTGATCCAATAAAATATTGGAGAGCATTACTTTTTTTGGCCAGGCAGTATATAAAATGTTTGTTTTCGGGTTCACATACACTTTATTTCCCACCCTCGGCTTATATTCGGGTCAATACTTTTTCCCAGTTTTTTTTGGGTAAAATTAGGTACTTAGTCTTATATTCGGGACGGCTTATACTCGAGTATATACGGTAAGCATGTAAAAATGCACAAGCCCAAGAACATGGAACTTTGGTGTTTGCAACTCACTACAGGCCAGTTTTTTTGGACAGAATTTACAATACCTTCTAGAGGTAAATCCTCTCATGATAGCCGGTCTCAAATAAATGAACTTGTTTCACTGGGTAACCATCACATCTAAACCACAAAATGTGAGTGGTCAGAAAATAACTTTAGGTCCATGTTTGAAAAAGGTTTCTCTAAAACCTCACAAAAAGTAAAGTGTCCAAGATTACCTCAGCCACCATTCAGCGTTATTCTCAATATTTCCAAAATGAAAAAAAATGAAAAAAAATTACAGCTGGAATGACAAACGTGCAACAACAGACCAACCCAATCCCTCGGTTCAAGCTACTTGTGGAACTCACTGAAATAGAATTGCACAATATAATACAGCAGCCAAGAGCTAATTTTAAAAGATAAAGATGCTCATGAGCTTAACATTTTGTGTCAGAGTTAAATAGTAAGACTACGCATACACTGGTAGATTTTTCTATAAAGACGTTCCACAGAGACTTGCAGAATGTTGGTTGAAATTCCGTTTGATTTTAACAGTCAATTTTAGAAAAGATTGCAAACCACACTGTTGGCCCTCATTCACACGGGGATCGGTTGGATCCTGTCTGCATCCAAGCCAGGAAACGCACACCCCTACGGACCTGCACTTGAGGTGAGCGTAGGGGGGCGTACGGCCGCGTAGTCCCATAGAGAAGGACAGGGGCTGCATACTAAATCACACGCAGCGCCTGTCCTTCCCGGGTGCTGCCCGATACGGCCATGCATGCAGCATGGAGCTGTATGTGTGGGCCGATTCCAGTGTGAATGAGGCCTTAAAATTTCATTTGTTTGAGAATTTCCAGCCTGTTCAATTTTTTTCCTCACTAACCCATTAGCTATTAGAAAAAATTGAAAAAATGTTCCAAAAACAAATATTTTCAAATAAAATTCTACCGTGTATGGCACGCTTAAGGTTTAGGATTTTTCTATAGCTATGGTTTCATTTTACCACAAAGTGACCCATTTAGATCTACACAGTATGGAGAACGGTTTATTCTGTTAACACAAGACAAGCGCTCTTCCAGTGGTTCTTCCGGATAAGTACCTTCTATTTCCCACTAGCCACAGAAAGGGAATGTCCAGCAAAAAACATCTTTCCCTTGCTTTGGGTACAGTGGGGGAAGGATTAGAACAACTGTTGGGTTCTCTGCTACCCAGGGCTCCATTAGAGAGATTTACTGGTCCTGGCGATGATGCATTACAACAGAGAAGTGACAGAAGATCTGAAACAGCAAAACAGACAACAATCCGACAAGTTTTCTAGCCTTTCCCTACTAACAAGTCTTTTTTTCCTATGTTGCTGTTGGAGAGTTCCCCACACTTCTGTTCTGGTAGCGCATAGTCTGCAAGACAGGAAGTAAGGGTAAATCTTTCTAGCAGAGCCATGAATGGCAGCAAGAACTTTACAGGGGTTCTAACCTCTTCCTACTATCACAAATTTTTCCTATGTTGCTGTTGGAGAGTTCCCCACACTTCTGTTCTGGTAGCGCATAGTCTGCAAGACAGGAAGTAAGGGTAAATCTTTCTAGCAGAGCCATGAATGGCAGCAAGAACTTTACAGGGGTTCTAACCTCTTCCTACTATCACAAACTATAAAAAAGGTTTTGACTGGACATACATTTTAAAGTGTATGTAAACTCAACCCC